TTTCTTCTTTTCATATTGAAGACGCTATTCGACTAGGGCTGTCAAAAAAGCTCATTGTTCGCGAATAGTTCATGTTCGGTTAGTCAATGAGTCATGTTCGATTCGTTCGATAAGTAAACGAGACGAATGTGAATAATTTTTTTTTGTCCGGTTAGTTAAACGAACCAAACACGAACAGTGATGTGTTTGTTCGTGTTTGAATTGTTATTGTTCGAAATATAAAATAATTTAAATAATTATATATTTATAATTTATGGTATTTTAAAAAATTAAATTTTATAATTATAATATATAATAAATTCATGATAATAACATATTAATATATTACATTAATAATATACTAATATAAATATTAAATATTTATATAATATAAGATGTATAATTAATATAATATATTATTTTTATATATTAATATTAGGGATGTCAAACTGGCTCGTCGTTCGCGAACAGCTCATGTTATGCTCGTTCGTTAGGAAACGAACACAAACAGTGACTTTGCGAACAATTTCAAACACGAGCTAATTTCAAACAAACTAAATTTCAAACGAATCGAACACAAATACAAGCTCCATTCGTTCGTGTTCGGTTCATTTACACCCCTAATTCTGATATCTTTTTATTGTTACTTTGACTCCCTTCAATTATTTTATTTAATTACTTATCAGTGAAAAAAAAAAAGAGAACTAACTTTTTATACACATTACATGATCATATTACTGAAACTTTGACTTGAAAATTATATCGCGGGAGATATTGACATTATTGCGGAATATTGGCAAAGAAACAAACCAATATGATGATCTGCTTTACGATAATTCCCCCATATAGGGGTGTAAACGAGCCGAACACGAGCAAGGACACGAGCGAACCATGCTCAGCTCGTGTTCAACTCGTTTATATTTCGAGCGAGGTCAAAAATTGTGTGCGTGGCTCGTTTGTTTAAGGAGCCGAACACGAGCTGTTCACGAACAAAGAGTCCTCTTAACAACCCTCATCATATAGCCATAAGACAATAAATATTTGAGCAAGATTTAAAAATTATGATTTATATTAAAACATCAATTTGAATCTAATTTAATAATTTTTATTCTATTTTCTTAATCAATAATTTAATTGATTATAAATCTTTGTACCCTTGTAGTAAATTAGATTTTTTTAAAATACTACCTAATATATATACGAGCCAAAACGAGCCAAACACGAACGAACACATCTTAGTTCGTGTTCGGCTCGTTGACTTATCGAATAAAATTAACGAGCCGAACACGAGCTTCTTAACGAGCCGAACACGAGCTGTTCGCGAACAACGAGCCGTTTTGACAGCCCTACCCCCATATACTGCTCGCCACCAAAAATAAAAAATAAAAACTATGTCAAAAGAATTCAATATCTTTTGCAAAAAAAGTACTATTTTTTTATTACATATTTTTAATATAATATGACATATTTTAAAGTGTTTGAGGCATCATAGCAGCCCCACGAAATTGTTGTGGGGAAGCTGCTGTCGAGAAACTGACTATCTATTTGTTTCATGTGGTTTGAAAACAGCTGTGCGACAACTGTTTTTGGACAAATGAACATTCTACCCGTGTTGTAATATTGTTTGTAGCAAAATTGGCCTAGTCATATATTTGATACATCATAAGCAAAAGTTCATTTCATAACAATACAAAAATTCAGATAAACACTTCACATAATAGTGAATATCAATTTTTAATTTATATATATATATATATATATATATATATCAAATTTATAATTAGTAATATGACAATATTTATTTCATAGTTTCCAAGGGTTTTTCATGTAATAATCCTAGTGTCTTCTTCTATATTATCTGTGTGTGTGATGGATTTTTGTGTAACATTAAGGGCCCGTTTGGGGTAGCTTATAAGTGCGGCGGCATTTTTGAAAACACCGCCGCACCGTTTGTTTTGCGCTGTTTTGCGCTTTTGTGCAGCTTATTTGAAAATCACGTTTCAGATTTGGAAAAAACGCTGATCGCGGGTCGATCCGCGATCAGCGTTTCAAATGCCCGATTGGGGCAGCATTTACGCGCCTGCCCCTCACTCGTGCCAGATCCGCTCTGCCTCCGCCGAAGCTATGGTCTGCTTCTGCCAAAGCTCTGCTCTGCCGCCTCTGTCGAAGGAAGTTTTGCTCTGCTGAAGTTTTTATTCTTCGGTCTACCTCCGCCAAAACAGGGGTAGAATGGTAATTTCTCCAGAATCAGTTGTTTTCCATACACACGAACCAAACAATCAGACAGCTTATCCGGGTCAGTTGTTCATCAACAGATTATCAGGATAAGTTGTTTATCAGCAGAAGCTGGATAAGCTTCAGCTGCCCCAAACAGACCCTAAGATGTTCAATAATCACTCTACAATGATTAATATTCCGGCACACAACAAAAATAAAAGAAAAATAAAAAAAAAAGTGATGACAAATGAGGCTTAAGATTCATAATGTGATTTTCATTGCCCATAACTTCTCAATTTTTTAATTCTCTCTCGGACTCAACTCAGTTTTTTTCACTAAAATTCTACGAGCATTTTTTCCCATTTAAATTGGCTTTGTCGTTATAACATTTGGGAAATTTACATATCTAACACCTACAACTTGATATTTACACTTACAATATTTTGGTGTCATAAACTTAAACATGAAAATATGTATAATTATTGTAACATTTTTATGTGATGTTATTTTGAAAGTTCTAAATGTATATATGAAATTATAAGGGTAATATTTGTAAATCATAAGAATTGTGGAATATGTTTGTAAATGCCCCTATTACTCAATATAAAATATAGATTTTATTGATCGATATAACCACACAAATATTTTCCTTTTTTTTTTTCTTTGGACATTTTTATGATTGTAAATGTAAGAACTTTGAAGTTTAGATGTTTATAATGTATTGTACTCCCAACACTTCATTTATATGCCTTCTACTTGTTTATTACATAACAAAAAAAGAAAAACTTATATTAATTGAGAGGCCGGTTAAAAATCATAATGAAAATTTTCAGGGGTGTTTACATAAATACCTCGAAACTCTTATGCATTTGCATATCTAAGACTTAAAGTTTGTTTGAGATGAAGGTGCGGCACCGCATCTTAGTTTTATCTGTTTGCATAAACTGCGTTTTGACAGCTTTCTTAAAAAGCTGCCGCTGAAATTTACTTTTTTCCACCAGTCCTGGTTATGTGCAGTGACAGTTTTCTAGATGTGGTCTGAGTTTTTCTATATATATAAAAAAAAAAAAATTGTCACCATAGCTTTTTAATATCAGATATTTCTTCAAAAGTTTTACAACTGCTTTTTTAATATGTTGTAGTAGCCCCAAAGTGACCCTTAAACTTTCATATTTGCAAGGGTCACACTCAAAATTTTAATAATATATCAAAAATACCAATATCATTAACTCCTAACAAATAAAATTCATTTTCATGCATAGATTTAAAATGTACATGCCAACCTTTAAATATTAGATAAATAAAATACATAAAAATTGTGATATGTTGTAAATTTCCCAATTTTAAAATGGATTTTTTTCATAACATATAACAAGATTTAGATAGATATGAAAGGGATGAGAGACAAGGGTATGAATTCTTTTTGCATAAATATTTTAATTTAATAAAGAAATAGTGATAAAGGTTGTGAGACAACATAATTTATATTTTAATTATCTAACTTCTCAATCCATTAAAGACACATTTTAAAAATAAGAATCTAAAAGTTTATGTGAATTTTTTTTCTTATGTACATATACAATTGGAATGAGAGCCCTCGTGATTTTGTTGTTTTTGTTATTGTTGTTGTATACATTTGGAATTAAAAGGCTCCTACACTGCAATAAAAATACATTCAAGTTGAGATCTTTTTTGGTTTAAGTTTGTGCATGTTAATGTGACAGGCTGCAACGCACATTAAATTAAAAATAGTGGACATAATTTGTCTCAGACCTGTTTAGAGCTTGTACAATAAAAGGTGCAGCATGGGGTATTTACATACATACCTCCTAATTCCTGTGTATTTACATATCTGACAACTATACTATAATTTTTACATTTATATCACTCACATCTAAATTACACTTCTTATAAAATGAGGTTTAGGTTTTAGATATGTACACACATAAGGACTGAGTGGCATGTATTTCTAAGATTAGGGGCATTTACATACACACCCCCCAAATCCTGTGAATGTATACAAATGATTGATTCCTACTCTTCCGTCAAACACGTACTCGCCGGCAACAAACGAATTAGAGCTCTACTTATCGTACTGGTTCAACTACAGTTTAAGCCAAGTGAAGAAAAAGATTAGGGGTGTTTACATACATACCACCCAATTCCTATGTATTTATATATCTAACAACTACTTACACTTATACCATCCAAATCTTTCACATCACATAAAACATAACACTACCTTAACTTCTAACAAGTGAAAAACAAATATCCATGCATAAGGTAGCATATATGTAAAAATTAAAGCTTAGGTGTTAGATGTGAAAATACGTAAGAATTAAGTGGTATGTATGCAAATCTTCCAAGAGAATATCAGCCCCATTTTAGACTATTAATGAATTGGCTGCAAACCATACAAAATGAACTGCTTTTTTCATTTCCCTTTTTTCTACTGGCTTGTAAGTGACCTAATGCCATAATCAAAAACTAACTTCAAGAAAGCAAAACTGTAACCTTTAGATGACATTATACGGTAATCAGAAATCTTCTAATCATGAAAACTGTAACTAAGAAAAAAGAGAAGGAGCAAAAACGGTGGTGATTGTCTTACTTTCAGCCGCTAAGCGCTTGTAAAACAAAAATGAGAGAAATACAGACCTAGGGCAACTTAAAACACCAAAAATAACTTTTAGATATTTTTTTAGTACTTTTAAACTTAGTTAATTTATTTTTGAAAATAAAATATAAAAACATACAAAAAATACACTATTTTTACAAAAATATTTTTAAAATAAAAATGATCCCAAACGAGGCCAGATACTAATTGAAATGCACCAAGCTTCAAAAGTCATACTTTGCTCTCCCGCTTCTCAAAATGAGGCAAAGCATATCAGAAGTGCTTCCAGTTTTGTTGTAGTAGTTCCAAGCTTCCAGCATCAAACGCTTTCTTGATCCCTTAAAATGAACCACCTGAAGAATGAACTTTTAATCAATCATATCTTGTTTCAAGGAAAAAATATATATGTGAAAACTCTTATATTTTGGAACTATATGCTGCATTAGTATCGTCATATTGTAAATGTGCTCATGAGATTTGCCCCAATTGGAATCTAGAATCAATAGGTTCAATGAAGTTTCACATAAGTACCACTCAATTTCTATGCATTTATAGATATAACATCTAAACTTTAATTTTTCCATTTACCTATGAATGAAAAGTTGTATTCACTTTTTAAAAGTTAAAATGGTGGTATTTTTGATGTGAAATGAAAGATCTGGGTGATATAAATGTTAAACGTAAAAATTGGGTGTTAGATATGTACATAAATGAGAATTGAGTGGAATGTATGTAAATTCCCCTAGGTTCAAAGCATATAAAAGATAACTTCAGTAATGCAATTTAGTATTCATAGGTTCAAAACATTTAAAAGATGAATTCATTATTCAAAATATCCCTTTCAACAACAAAGTTATAGAAATATCATGCACCAGACACCTCGCTCTTTTATTTTTCACTTTCTATAGCGTATCAAAATAAGACAAAAAAAAATGATGATAGTAGAACAGCATAATGCCGATTCTGAAACTCTACTAAGGAGAAAATATATCTTTGAAGATTTACATACATATACCACTTAATTCCTATATATTTACATATCTAATATCAAAACTTCACTTTTACAAACATACCACCTTACCTATGCATAAAAATGTTTATTTCACATTTTGAAAGTTCTATGGTGGTATTTTTGATGTGATATGAAAGATTTAGGTGGTATAGATGTAAAAAAACAAAATGTAGGTGTTAGAAATGTAAATACACAAGGAAATGAAGTACCAATGCCATGTACGTATCATGAAATTGAACTAAATAAAATTGTATGGATCTTAAACGAGAACTTCCAAAGTTCCAAAACATATAACAGGAAGAAAACCTGCAATTTGAAAATTAAGTTTTACCTTTACATCTAATGGCATTCCATGGAACTGTCCAGCACCCTCAGGTGGTGTCCAATTAAAAATGGCACAGGGAAGAAAAAGAATTGATGACCCATTAATTTCAGCAGAGAAGGCTTCAGGCTTTTGAAAGAGTTCAGTAGTAAATGAGATATGAGACCTCACAACCCATGCGAGGGCTAACTGGTCTCCAAGCATGCGTGAAGCTTTGATGTATTTAGAACTGTATATTTCCAAGACTTCCTCAAGGAAAATCTTGGACCTGGAAAAAAAAATGAAAACATTATATAACGGAATTGTTAAAACCAGCAACCAAATAACAAGAAGTCAGTCTGAAAACTAACTTGCGAATTCCATCAAGAGTGCCTCGCACTGCAATAAATCCAGAATTCAAAGGTTGGTCTTTGTTATTTCGGAATGTTAGAGCTAGGTGGAAATCAGGATAATTTTCAAATAGGTGCCCAAGATCATCGACTATTGCTACATCAGAATCAGTGAAAATGTAATGATTGACGAAGTTTTGTATTTCAAACTTCTGTTGAAGTCTTGATTCCAGAAAAGCCTGCATTAAAAATAAGCAAAAATCAATAATTAGCTGCACAGAAAATAGATGAAATAAAATTAAGAGCAGCATGTCTATCACTTCATTCACAGAAATCAAGAAAATATAGTTAATGTACATAAAATAATGGGGAATTTGCAGCCAGGTCCTGGAGTTTAATCTTAAATTTGTAGTCCCAAGTTTATATTTGTCAATTAAATCAATTATATAATTTATGTCTATATGATTCTTTTCTAGCCATGTCATGCCTCCTTTTCTATATTTCACCAGCATTGGCAGCACTTTTCTATATTTCACCAGCGGAGATACCATGAGGGCATCGATGTTAGAGAGCAGAACAGAGGTGAGGAAGGTATAGGAGTATATGTAAATGAATTCAGGAAGAGAAGCGCAGTTCAAGGAAGAGTTATCAATGAGCCGAAAAAGTATAACACAGGAATCTCGAGAGCCCTGCACAAAGAGTCACAGCATACATAACCATTAAGGAAAATACATCCAAAGTTGCAGCTCGACAGTACAAGCTGAATATAAAATTATGTACATCTTTATGCCCAATTTAAATTTTTTTTAAAAAAACGAAAGAAAGAGAAAACATTCATTTATGATGCATGGCAATCAAATGCTCACAAATATTTGTCATGAAAATCGCAAACTACTATTAGCTTTGGCATAACACAAGCAACTACCCCAATACTCCATAATGCTAATGTTGATTTCCTTCTGAAAACAGGTAAAATGAACAATCAATTTAGTCACAGCCTCAAGTGCACAGCTGAAGTTAAGAACTAGCACCATGTGTATGATAGTTACCTTATTATTCAATATGGATTAGTTAAAATAAAAAGTGTATTCATCGAGATCATGTATATTGAGAGACTACAACAACGACATTTTCTCAAATGCATGAACACAGCCCGCCAACAGTCTTCATAGCAGATCAAGTATCGCATTGGAGATCAATTAAACATCTTTGTTTAGAGAGTGCAATCTCCGTGTTGATTTTTATGGTCTCAGACTGTAGCCATATTGATGAGAAAATGAACCCATTGACATTTTGTTAAAAGGAAATTAATCGAACAGAATTATATGGACTTTTTTCTTGGGTTAAGTATATGCTGTGGACTCAGAAGAAAGGTACGGTGATATATTTGTTTTAAAGCACGTCAAATTTAATAAGCAGATTGCCTAACAGACACCCTTCAAGTGACCACATAATACAGTAACAGGTAATATATAGGCAATGCAGATCGTACGAGTAAAAGAATGGTCATTACAAAAATTTCACTGCAACAACAACAACAACAAAGCCTTAATCCCACTACCTGAGGTTGGCTACACGAATCCTTTTTCTCCATTGCGTCCTATTTAGTGTCATATTTTCATTTAGTTCTTATAAATTAAGATCATTTTTTATACAATAAGCCCAAGTCTTCCTACGTCTACCTCTGTCTATCATAAAATAAGTCGAATCTAAAACATCTACTCTCCTAATCGGATCATCAGATTGTCGACGCTTAATGTGACCAAACCATCTAAAACGACTTTTTATAATTTTGTCCGTCACAGGAGCTACACCTATCACAGATATAATCATTTCCCATTTTGTCTCTAAGTGTAAAGCCACTCATCCACCTAATCATTCTCATCTCGGCAACACTTAACTTAGTATCATGCTTCTCTTTTAAAGGCCAACATTCGGCGCCATAGAGGATTGCAGGTCTCACCACCGTCTTATAAAATTTTCCTTTCAATCTAAGTTGTAATTTTCTATCACACAAAAGGCTCGAAGCATTTTTCCACTTAAACCAACCAACTTGAATTCTACTATTAACATCCCCATCTATATCACCATCGCTTTGAACAACAGACCTGAGATATCTAAATCGTTCACACCTTTTAATAATTTAATCACCCAAAGTTACACTTCTGTCACTAGAGCTACTACTACTAAAATTATATGTATTCAGTTTTAGTTCCACTCAAATGAAGGCCTTTAGACTCCAATGTAGACCTTCATAATTCAAGTTTTTCCTAGGTTTTATCTCTCGTCTTATCCGCGAGAAGGATATCATCAGCAAAAAACACACACTAAGGTACATCCTCCTGTAAATGTCCAGTAAGACCATCCACAACTAAAGCAAAAAGATATGAGCTTAAAGCCGATCCCTGATGTAATCCAACAGAAATAGGAAAATATTTGGTCAATCCTCCTTCAATTTGAACACAACTAACACGTCTAGTATACATATCTTTAATGACTTGAATATAAGTCATATCAACAACTTTCTTCTCAATAACTCTCCAAAGGATATCTCTTGGAACCTTATCGTAAGCTTTTTCTAAATCAATAAAAATCAAATGTAGATTCTTCTTATGATCTATGAACTTCTACATCAAACCTCTCAATAAATGTATAGCTTACATAGTAGACCTGCCCGACATAAATCCAAATTGATTATGATAAGTCTTTGTAAAACGTCTTAACCTATGTTAAATTAAACTCTCCCATAATTTTAAAGTATGACACATCAGCTTAATTCCTCTATAATTTGCACACTCTTGTGCATCCCCCTTATTGTTAAAATTGGGGACCAAAATACTCTTCCTCCACTCCTTAGGCATCTTTTTAGTTTTTAAGATAATATTAAAAAGTTTAGTAAGTCAAGAAATTCCTAAATCTCCTAAATATTTTCATACTTCAATTAGAATATCATCAGGTCCTACAGACTTTCCACGGTTAGTTTTCCTTAAATCTTCCTCAACTTCTTTTTTATTAATGCGGCGATAAAAATGAAACTTTTTATAATTATTAACGATATTAAGCTCACTAAGGTCAATCATATTTTCAAAAACTTCATTAAAAGGATTATAAAAAACTTAACTGCAAGGAGTCAAAAAAAAAATGAATTTGCGAAAAAGAATCTTACTATGTAAGATCTGATTCTTTGGAGCATCAGTTGACCTCGAGTATAGTCTCCTGAAACAGGAAATAGAGTGGTATTCTTTCTGTTCATCGTAAGGTTGGCAGCAGGATCTGTCAACAATAATACTTGGCTCCTTGGCATAGAAACCTGCAGAGTTCTACATTTAAGATAAAAAAATTAATCAAGCAACGAAGCAAGAGAATGTATGAAAAATATTTCGTAAAGTTGTAGATTTGCTAACAATCTTTATGTGCCAAAATTGTAGTCAGACTGACTATGTGCTATGATAAGACAAAATCAACCAGTATACGGCTATTATGTTTAGAAATAGGAGACATTTAGCATCCAAAATATTTAAATGGTGTTAGGAAGTTTTGAACAATTCTTTTATACAATCGGCTAAGCCTAAAGGCAGCTTGAGTTCAGGTCAACAACCCTAACTTGTTTAAATTTGAGTTGGGTTTGGGTTGACCCACCAACTCAAAATTAACCCGAAACTGACCAATTAACTCGAATATGACCCAAAATTGTCCTTCCAACTCAAAATCGACTCAAACTTAATATGAATTTGACCCGAATAGCTATTAAGCCATATGGCAAGGTAACAAGCTCTGCTCTGCTTGACGTACTACTCCACATCTCTCGTGTCCGAGCCAAAAAAAATGTTCTTTCATCAAGGCAAGAGTAAAATGACTGGCTAATCCCCCATCATGACTCTCCTGGATGATGAACCCCCTCAATAATCATCCGAGAATACACGACCTGTTTTGGTGGAATAGGTAGCCATCAGCTCTGTGGTACTGTTTTGTCAACTTCTCCTGACATTGTTCCCAGATCTCCCTGAATCTTTATTTGCCTTGTACAACTCCTTCGCCACCTCGAACTCCACAACTCTAGTATGCATGGAGGTGATCAGCAAGTGGTGGTGACTCGAGGCATTGGCGATTCGATTTTGTCTTCCTACCTTGTGCTTGAGCACAAATTGTAACGATGCTGGGAACTCAACCTAGGAAGCATGCCCGACCTTCAACTTGCTCTGATTGTTCAAGAACCTCAGAGTCTCGTGATTCGTGAATTTGGTGAACTTGTTCGTCAGTAGGTACCGATCCTAGTGGTTAAGAGCCCTCACAATAGCATAAAACATTTTGTCGTATGTCAAATACTTTCTTATCGACCCATTCAACTTCTTACTGAAGAAGGCTACAGGGGCTCAATAATTTTCCGATCCCCACATTTGTGTTGACCTCACTTTCCTTAGAAGCCTAGGATCAAGCCATAGAACTTTCCTGTTGATTATTCCTAGAAAACTAGTGGTGCTACCTTCACAATTAGAAATTCTAAACTCTTCCTTGCTCATCTTAAAGTTCCACATGTTCGTTCTAGTCTTTAGCACTTAGTAGGTGGAGCCAATATGAGGAAGCTCAAGATGAGTCCCCATATGACTGTTTGGCCTTAGGGTTGACCCTGGGCCATGTGGTCTTGGTCAGCCTCACACACACATACGCTTGATACCCCTCACTTACACTCACAGCTTTAACCCTTAACCAAATATGCTTAGTTGATCCCTTACTCTTTTTGGAAACTCATATGGATAGTCCCCTGAACTATTAGGTTAGCTAAGATGGCTAGAACCAACATAGAAGGATTCAAAATGAGTCCTCATATGACTCTTGTAGCTTTAGGGTGACTTCATGGCTTACCTGCTCACCATCCTATTGAACCCCAATTCTACCTAAATACCCAATTTTAGCCTTTTACCCCCCAAACTTCGCCAAATTACCAAATTTTCCCTGAAACCCTAATTTTCTCAAAAATTGCCAAAACAACCCAATTTCATCCAAAAATCATTGCAAACCATTTGAAACCATCCAAACTACCCAAAACACCATAAAATTTTTAAAATTACCAAAATACCCCAGAATCCCCAAAATTATCAAAATGTCATTCATACCCAAAAAATTTCAGGAATTCCCAAACTCACTCCAAATGTTCTCAAAATCAATTTGAACCACTTCATTGAACCCATTTTGACCAAATTGACCCCTTTTGACCAAAATTCCCAAATTGCCCCTAAATGCCTAAATTCTCCAATTCACCACCAATTTCCACCAAATTGACTCCAATCTCGCCCAATTTCAATTTTAAACTCGACTTCATCATATTCAATCCCAACTAAGACCAAAACCAAGCCCAATTGAACCCAATTTCAAACCTAAATTCCAAGCCTAACTAAAATGCCCAATTTGACCATATACCCAATTTCCCCAAATTGAACCCCCTTATCTATCCAATTTCCCCAATTTTGAATTCCAAATTCCTTATAACATTCCTTTAGACCAATTATAAAATTCCTTATAACATTCCTTTAGACCAAATTGAACTTTCAACTGGCCCTAACCTAGCCTTAAATCTCACCCAAATCCAACCTAGGCCAAAATCCCCAAATTTGCACTTAGCTCCAAATGTTTCAAATTGAACCTCATAACTCCAAAATTTCTGCTCTTCATTACAAACCCTTGGACCAATTTGAACCATCAATTGAGCCTAACCTAAACCCTAGCCCAATCCAAACCCAAGTCTAACCCAAATGCCCCAAAATTGGTCATGAGCCAACTTCCACTAAATTGAACTCCCAAGTCAATTCAAAATCACTCAATTCCTTTCCCAAACTTCTCATGACAATTATCCAAGTCAATTTGATCAATCAATTGAGCCAAACTTAAAGTCTAGCCAAACCCAAACTCAAATCCAAGCTCATGGCATGATTTTCAACCCAACCATTGAGTTGAACCAAACTCATTCAAATTGACCAAGCCATGGTCACCACAACCACCATCTGAACCTTAGGGACCAGGCTAGATCCACCTAGCCAACCCTTCATGAGCCATGGACTAAGGGTCCCCCAAATTAGGGGATTCCCATCCTAAATAACTAAACCAAGGGAGATATGCCATCAACCATCAAACCCCTAAGCTAATCACAATTAAAATTTCCCTTGGATCCCCTGACCACTCTAGCCCCCAATCATGGCCTGGCCAACCGGCCTAGTCACCGGAAAACATCAAAGCTGAAGGCCTCCTCAAGGGACCAAGCCCAAATTCCACCCATCCAAGTTGGCTAATCCCAATTGGTTACTTGCCTCTTTTTCTCCTCCACCTAAGCATCAGAGCTCACCCACTGGCTTGGCCAATTGAGCCCTAACTCCCCCTTTATTTAAATCACCCTTCTCCACGACCAAATGAGAAGAGTGCTCGAACCTAGGGGAAACTCTGCCCAATTGTCTCCAAACCCTTCTAGCACTCGAGGCAAGCTCACTCCCGCCATTCCAACCTCTCCCCACCCCTGAAGAACCCTAATTTTTAAATCTGAAATCCATGGCCTTTTTCATTCATTCCACTAAACACCCTCAAACTCCAAATTAAACCACGTCTTAGCTTCCCCAGAGCAAGACAGGAAGTTCCCCATCAAAACCCCCCTCTATTGAGCACCCTAACCTAGCTTTTGGCCAAGGCCGCACCACCCTTCGGCTGAGATCATCTTTGGAGCTTATATCAGAGCAAACTAGCACTTCCAGGAGGTTCGCCTGTTTGTGGGACTCCATTGAAGCTTCCACAAGCACTCAATCGAGGCTTCACCTCTTGGGCAAAGGTATATTTCAATAACCCTAATTTTTTTTCTCGATTTCACCAATTGTGAAGTGAAGCTTCATCGAGTCATTTTTGGGTCTGTTGGGTTGTACATGGGTAGGGCTGTCAAAACGGCTCGTTGTTTGTGAACAACTCGTGTTCGGCTAATTAACTAGCTTATATTCAATTCGTTCACTAAACAAAAAGAGCCGAACACGAACAATTTTTTTTTTAGCTTTTATATAAACGAGTCGAACACGAACAAAGATTTGTTTGTTCATGTTCAACTTGTTTTGGCTCGAAATGATTAATATATATATATATATATATTAATCATTTCGAGCCAAAACAAGTTGAACATGAACATTATTTGTAAATAATTTAATTAACTACAAGGCTACAAAAATTTATATTCAATTAAAATTACTAATGAAAAATAGAATAAAAATATATTAGTTTTATTTAAGTGAATATTTTAATATAAATAATAAGATTTAAATCTAATCCTACCATTAACATAATAAGGTTGTCTGACTAGGGTTGTTAAAATGGCTCATTGTTCGTGAACAGCTCGTGTCGGTTTGATAAACAAATGAGTTAAACACGAACAATGATATTTTTTTAACGAGTCAAATACAAGTCAAGCCTAGGCTCGCTCAAGCTCGGCTTGTTTGCACCTCTGATGGTTGCGTGACTAGGGTTGTCAAAACGACTCTTTGTTCGTGAACAGCTAGTGTTCGGCTGACTAATCATGTTCAGCTCGCTAAGCAAACGAGTCGAACACGAACAAATTTTTTCTGTTCGAAATATAAACGAGCTAAAAACGAACAATAATATTTTTTAAAGAGTAGAGCTTGACCTCGCTCGTGTTCGGCTTGTTTAAACCCCTAAACATGGTTAAGATTCAAATTAGATAATTTAACTTGTTTACTATTTTGTTCAGGTTCGGGCCTAGCAATTTCGGGTTAGAGCAAAACCCAAGCCACAAAGTAAAATGTGATGTGCAAGAGTTTCTTGTTGTGTAAAGCAAAAAAGATGATTTACAAACTGAAGCAATATAAACATATATAGTCAGGACCCGGCTCGGAAGTTTGAGTTAACCAAGGCGGGTACAAACGATCGGACAATAAAAATTACATTTTTAATATTCTTTTTTTTATAATTAAAATTTAATAAATGAAAGAGTTACTAAAGAAAGTTAGTTTAAAACAACAGTGAGTTAAACAATGAAATATAATTAAATTTACCTCATTTTTGGTTGTCCACGTATGTTATAAACATTTCTTATTCAATTGTTCATCAGTTAATCAACTAATTAAACCTGAATTCTTAATTTAAAAGAACAGTAAACTAATCAAAGTCAGTGAATACTCGTACTCCTAAACTATATCAATACAATAAAAAAGACCAATATTATCACGACCCGGCATGGAGTTTGGAATTAATCAAGTAGTAAACAAACGGTTAGACAGTGAAACTAATTCTCTACTACTATATTTCTATCATTAAGAATTTAATATT